GACTGCTATGTTTTACGAAAACAAAGAAGAATTATGAGAGTTTTATTTCCAAAGATAAAAAAACTAACGAAATAAAAAAATAATGAAAACAGATCTGAAACAAAGAAATAAAAATTTTCAATCCGTTGCTTCCCCGGCAACGGTGCCAAAAACTTGGTGCACCCGGAATGCGTTGTCAAACACCCGGGACACCAATTTAATAATTTGTAAATTTCCAAATCCTCAAAACTAAATAAAGAACGTAGTTTAGTGGTGAGGAAGGGATCGAATCCTCAGGGAAGCAAGGTTAAAAATTATTATTTTGTTCCGAACAAATAAGAAAAAGAAAACAGATTTGGGATTTAAAGAAAATAAGAAAATAAACTTTATTAAAGCTGAAAAAATATTCAAAATTGAAAAAAGACAAGAAATTAAATAAAATTGAAACTAACAAGTAAATAAATAAAATATGTTGAAATTCGGATCTAGTGGCGATAGATTTCCAGGAAGACAAATTGCAAGTTGTTCCTCCTTCGTTCAGCCCTCGAGACACCTTAGCCTTGAACTGGGCGAATTCAGATCTGCAAAAGATAAAGAAAAATAGAAATTAAACCAACCCAAAATCGAAAATTCCAAAAATTAAATTGCTAGAAAAACGGAATAACAAAAAGAAAGAAAATAAAACAAAATAAAAATGGTGGATCAGCTCCAATGGCAACAGTTGCAGGTTGGACGAACTGCTTGCAAGAACCCCTCCTAACAAGAATTGGGCGTCCTCCTTCATGTAACCCTTGAACCCCTCAAGAAGTCTTGGCCTTGTGAACTGGGCTAACCAACCCCTTCTCTAGGGCCCTTGGGGTCCTTTTTATAGAGAAGGGTGGACAAAACTGGAATTAGAAAGAAAGAAAGGGGCAACTAGTGGGTTTATGCAGAAAAAGGGCGCCCCTAGGGTTTAGGAATGGAGGGTTAGGAATAAACTAGAGGGATCCTACGACTATAGGGAAAAGGAGAGGCCGCCTATAAGTATGGAGGGCTGGGATTTAAGCTCCTAGGATTGAATGGTGGAGATTAGAAGTTAGGTGGCACCCTAGGGTTAAATTACTAAAGAGACGGCACCCTAGAATGGTGGGTGAAAATTGCAAGGTGAAGATCTAAGGGTATGAGAGGTTGAAGATTTAGCAGTTAGGGGCAGTTAGGGTTTGTTAAAGGTGAAAAGAATGAGTGGGGAGGTGCCCTAGGGTTTGTTAAGGAGAGAGGAGTATGCTAATATAGTAGGAGGGGCGTCTTTCTGGGTTTAGCATATAGGAGTTACCCTCCTATGCTCAGTTTTTCACAGAAACACCCCCTCTCTCAGAAGGAATTCTCACTAACTTCCCAAAATTTATAGAAAACTTTATAAATTCCCTAGTTTTTACCCAGAATTTACACAATGACCTTCAGAGGTCACAACATTGAATTTAACCAGAAAATGGTATAGGTTAGTTAATCTAAGGTCTAAAATACCCCTAAAATGATGCCCTTAAGGCATCAAAATACAGAGTTATCACCCTCTCTTCCCCGGACTTGACCCGACATGATAAAAGCAAAGAACAGATCAAGGGGGAAATGACTCACCTAGAATGAAAATACTGACCTCGCCAACTACACCGATGACTTCAACAACGTCGAGCTTCACAACCTCACTATGCACTAGAACTCCAAGGTTGGAGACCAGTGAATTGGGCCCTTAAGGGTCCTATTTATAGACAGATGGACCAAACTATGAATGGTTAAGATTAGTTGGATCCAACGGTTCACAAGGACACGACGATTCGTATTCCAAGGCGAAATTAATTTAGCGTGTTTTTTACGTCCGCGCTACCTAATGGTTGCATGGTGTCCGTGCATCCTCAATACGGTACCTCGTGCCTAGGTCAAACTGACTGGACCAACCTGGTCCTGAGCCATTGGTCGAACTATGATCGAGGACGAAACTCAAACCAAATCACCTCAGGTTAAGACTACTCCCTCACCAGACTCGGAAGTGGAGGCAATTGATGAGGGATAATTTGGTCCTCCAATGATATCACGACATTTAGCATTGTAGAACAACAGAAGTAACACCTCGGCACCATGTAAGCAAACCCCAAGAACACTTCGAGCACTTCACAACTACATCGATGACCTCAGCACCACTCTGGTAAGCCGACCTGTGAACAACCAGGCAAGACCTCAAGTCGGCATAAGAGGCAACTTGCTTCCATCGATCTAACCCGACTCCAGTTAGCGACCTGCCTAACGTGCCAAGCAACCGCCCCCTTAAGCGGGTTGTAGCCTCCGAATTCCCCGGGATCACAACGCCACATTGAAAGAGCTGGTTATCACAACGCCACCTCTAAGCTTAAAACCACCTCCGAACCAAATGGGCTAGAGATTCTGGACATGTTTCGTGAGGCTCACACCATCTCACCTATATAAGGGCCTCACCTCCAACCTCATAAGGTACGTGCGGTTTAGTCTCTAAGCACGCTAGCTTTCTTTCTCTCTTGCAATCAAATACCATCTCGCTAACTTAAGCATCAAAGTTCCCACCCCAGGTCAAGCAACCCGGACATTCGGATTACTTCTCTCTTGTAGCTCAACCAAGCGACCTACTTAATCCGGTGTCTGAGATGTCAACCAGCAGGGAGCACCAGATCGCATATCATCAGGAAAAAAAAAAACGGTGTGATGTTTGGGAGAACATCATAACATGCACCACTAAGGAACTAACCTCAACATCACTTCCTAATCGTCTCGTTCTCCTCTATTTTATTATTGGGTTATAATATTACAAGTATCATTGAGGTTTTTAAGTGACCGAGTTTTTTTCTTGCTGGTTTTTGTCGTTCAAATGCATTATTTCCCCTTACCTAACTCACCACTCACCTCTAGAACCCAGATTTCCTACTCACTTTTCCTATGCTCTCTACCCGCCATGAACTGCACCTACACATCTCTCAATTCATAATAGAGATGTATGGCTGCAATTCACGATAGAAGAGTGGATAGGAAAAGTGAGTAGGAAATCCCGTTTGCTTCCATTTAACCCCTAAATTGCTAAAATGTAAATATGAAAAAAAAAGCTTTAAAAACTTTCACTTAACTTGCAGAATCCGAAATCTGAAATCCAGTTTCAAGAGATAAAAGAAAAGTAGCGCCCCACATGCATATCTCAGCATGCATTAAAAACATTTCCCATATTTGTTGTTGAAAGATATTTTCAATACATGGTAGAGATGTAGTATGAGGCACGCCTTGCGAAGTGCAGATGTAAACTTCAATAAGAAAAACGTAAATGTCAAGTCTGATTGGTTTCTACTCTTCGTTTGAGTACCAAAACAAAGTGACGGGTTAATTAACAAACTTCATTTCTTTAATAAATTCCTTCTTTGTGATGTTTGTTTGCTGTAAGATTCAAAATATCAAAAGCGCAAGGTGTATGACAATTTTAAGAGACATATCGAGATACGGTTTGAATACGTATTTATAGGAATGACAAATCATATATACATAAATATGTTAGGAAATTCAAATAAATCCTAAAAATATATTACTAAAAATAATTACAAGTTTTATATAATTCTAAATAAATTATTTAAATATAAAAAACTATAATTTAATAATTTATATAAAGTGTGAGATATCGAGACACAATTAGCAACCATTGAAAAATAATGGAATAACTAAAATGTGAAAAAATCAAAAAAAAATAAAATATGAAGAAAACACAAAAAACTAAAATATGAATGTATATACATCAATTTTCAAATAACCAATATAATTTATCTTAATATTTATTAATAAACACCTACTTAGAAAAGAGAATATTTACTTAAAGATAAAAATGCATATATATATATACCTAACAAAAATTACAAGAAAATCAGATCCTTGTATGTTTTTAATTATATAAATGGTTCAGGTCTGAATCGGTTTGGAACAAAAGAACCAATTCTGACCCAATTATCCACAGGGACAACCTCAAAACCAGAACTGACATAATCGGTTAGTTTAGTTCTGTCTAGACCTGACCCATCTTATCCCACAAAAAAGTTAAGTTTTGGCGTAAATGATCCCTCTTTCAAACTAAAAACAGCCTAAATTGCGAATTCAAATTAACTGAATGCTTTAACTATATAGCAGGCTGCAGAACCAATGATAAAACTCTACACCGGTGATAAAATGCATGAAATACACAGCTTGAATGGTTATGGGCCTCGTATATATCGACTGGTGTGAAGTGTTATTATTGATTCTACAATCTCCTGAACAGCTAAAGCACTCAACTAATTCTATCTTTCCTAAATTGCATTCCCACCTCCAACAATCTCAGCCTCTCAACTCAAGTATCCTCCCCTTTGTAGTAGTTATTGTAATCCTAATTCCTAGTAAACCCTCGCCGTGGCTGTATTGTTTGATATACTAGTAGTAGTAGAATATCTTTAAGGGCTAGTAATATTGTTTGATGCACTAGTAATAGTAGACTCTCCTTTAAGACTAGCATTATTATTTGATGCACTAGTAGTAGTAGAAGACTAGTAGTTGGGATAAGGTTTTGTTGCAATCCTAATTGCATTTCAGAAAGAAAAGTATTTTTTTATTAAAGATATTTATTTTCCAAATTTTATTAAAGACTAGTAGTTGGGATAAGACTCTCTTTTGACAAAAATATTTATTTTTCAAATTTTCTTTCATATGTTCACACTACCCCAAATCCTTCCAAAATTGATTTATTTTCCAAATTTAACCTTCATATCAATCACTCAGGTAAAGCTGCAACTTTAAATTCTCTTCTCTTCTATTGTTATTTATAATGTATTGTTTTTCATAGAACCAGCCTCAAAATAGTAACTGCACGAGTATTTTAGACATTTTTGCGGCCCTTGTTAGAAGGTTTTAAGGGGAGATCATTGCAATTACCAAACTCAGGGAAGGTTTCAGAAACGGTCAAAAACTTCAGGGAAAGTTTCAACAATTTACCCTAAAAATAAAGCGGGGGATGATGATAAGGCACCTTACCATCCATTGGGAGACAAATTGAGAAACACAACGTACCTATAAAATTCCTTCTGCCAAATATAAGTTAAACAAAATATGGAAAATTTAAGGCGACAACAAATGGGAGTTTTTAGCCCAATTCCCACTTTTTGTTGCCCGTTAGCTATAAGCCTGTAACTGTTTATCCAACCACAAGAACCTGCTATTGAGCAGCCACTAGTAAGGACGGTATCTCCTGCCACGGTTGCCATCACTACCACCACTTCCTCCTCGTCCTTGTGGTCCACCAGAGCTGCTGCTTCGATCATTCCTCCGAGTTGGAAGTGGGGGAGCCTGTGCACCAGGTTGCTGTCTGCAAGGACAAGGAACATTACCATGAAACAAGTGCAGGAGCTTTAAATGGAACCCAGAGAATTGAACATTACTTACAAAACATAGCCTAGTCGACCATCCGGCAGTACCATTGGCACCATCTGCATCCCTGCTGGCATGGGCCCCCGACCATATATGACTGGCTGCTCAAAGAAACTAAATCAATGTCATGCATATTGAATGACAAGAAAGCAATATCAAGGAAATAGCCAGTTAACATACCTGCTGAAATCCGGCTGCAGCACCATATCCAGCACCTAGAGTTCCATACAGATTTCCAGCAAAACCATAACCAGGATACGGAAGGTAATTTGGGAGAATCCCAGGATTGTACAAATTAGCCGCATCAAATTTCTTTTCATTTTGAGGCTTTGCAAGGGAAACATCCAAGACATTGCCTGTAAAACATGGTTGGATAAGAAGTCAAAGACCGTAGAAACCTTTCCTGAGCTTTATTTATTTATTTTGAGACAGCTGAAAACTCCCAGGTCCCGAGCGGGCTATGCTGTTACTAGTAGAGTGTTTGAACCTTTCCTGGGATTTATTTTATTTATTTATTTTTGATGAATACCTTTCCTGGGCTTTATTCCCTCAATGCTTGTGTACAGCCCCAGTAAAGACCTTGTTCCCATTTTCAGTTATGTATTGAAGAGGGATGCCCAAGCCCAGATTTTTGATACAGCCCATAAACATTGAAGTTGACATATCCTAGACCAATTAACAATCCGGATGCTTAAGCTTCTCCTCACACCCAAATGCAATAATGTGTCGTTGGATCAGAAAATCAGCTCATTCTATAAGGAAATTGGTGAAACCAGACCGTCCAATGGTGCCAACACACCTACCACCACAACCACCACCCCAGTGACACAAGTACTTATTAAGCAGATCATTTATCTCAAGTGTTGATGACAACAGACTGTTCCATATCATTATATATCTACAGTTCTACACCAACTACAATATGATGAATCTTTTATTCCCACTTTGTGGAAATAAACTTTAGAGAACTAGAAAAGGAATAAAGACAGAATATCCTGCACATGACTTTCATTCACTGATTCAAGATTCTCTATTTCTCTCATTTATTTAGTATGAAATCAATGAGTTTGGATCTGCTCACCACAACACATTGCTGGCCATGTTCACCCAGCCGCACATTGGGAACATCTCTTGTTCTTTATATCACCAATATTCTCTATCTGCGGCTGTATGAATGTGGACAGCAATGTGCTGTGATCAGCAGATCCAAACTCAAAATCAATAGCATGTTGGAAGCATTACCATCAAGTTCATATTTCTCTGTTTCTTTTACAGCCTTCAATGCACTTGATCTCTCTGCAAAATGAATAAATCCAAAATCCCGCTTGCTCTGCCCAGCTTTAGCAGGTGGCAGGACAACTTTTGTGACCTCTCCATGATGTTGGAATAATTCCTTCAATTGTTCAGGTGTTGTGTTGTCAGGTAAGTTTTTAACATAAAGAGCCTTAACCTGAGAAATTCCAATAGTACACTGTTAGTTCATAATGCAATAACATCTTAAATTTTTTCAGTATCCAGGCATATCTACTAAACAAGAAAATGTGAGAGTCAATCATGAACACAATCAAAAGGATACCTAGGGAATCAGGGGAATGTAAAGTCTTTTAGATGCCAACTAAGCAACTCAAACAGTACAGCAGTTTATGCACTATGTTATCAGTATGTTTAGGCTAAATATACCTAAAGGTCACTCTATTCCCTAAATATACCTCACTTTCCAACTCTTTTCTTCCAAAGATAAAGGGTCATTTATTTATGTTGGTCCCAGGTATCCAGGTTCTTGGGAAGCATGGATTGGATATGGACCTAACTGTTAGCATTTCCTGCATAAGTGGCTTTTGAGACTCAAGCACATGTTCTCACACTAATTAGCCTGAGATTTTAATATTGCACCAAGCAATGGCCCCCTTTGTCTTGTAAAGATGCAACTCAGAATTTCTAAGATAACCATAATCAGTCTCCCCACAAAAGATAGAAAATGTCAAGGAATGTTATAATAAACTCCTTTTTGATACATCTTGAAGAAGTTATATCCCTCTACAAGTGTCTCTTATAGAACCACTTAAGAAGAAAACTAAGGGAAAAAACCAGGAAAAGAAAGAATTCAAGATTTATGCACATAGTTCACAACTTCCAATAAGATAAGATCAGTCAATACCCATTTCATTCTTCTTGTAGCATTTACCTGGGCAGCAGCAGAAGAATCAGGTGCACTCTTAGGATCAGCCCAGCTGACAGTGGGGGTGTTGCCATCCAGCTTAAATGTTGCACTTGACATTCTCTGTCGTGCATAATCAGCACAGGCATTGTTGTAGTACTCAACAAAAGCAAAACCACGGTTACGGTTTGGATTTTGTGGGTCCTGCAATAACCAAAAGACATGGAACCAATGGAGTAAGAGATTCTAGATGTCCCTCTTTAGCATCAAGTATTTAGCAATTTGCAGTTAAACAAGAAAATTCCACCTTTAAGAGCTCAATATTTTCAACTCCAGGACCATTCTCTTCAATGACCCTTCTAAGTTCAGCTTCTGTCCAGCTCTTTGGAATGTTTCCAATAAACAATCTGTGCTTAGCTTGAGACAGAGAACACCTCAACGTTCTCCCCTGCAAATACAAAATGCAGAAGAAACTCCCAGTTGAAGTTATACTGGAAAAGAAGAGTGCATGTACTGACTAAACCCGAGCACTAAAACAATAAACAGAAGAGTGAACCTTGAATTCTTTATTATGGAACTCTTCAATAGCCTTTTGTGCCAAATCCTTTGTCTTAAAGGTCACAAAAGCATAGCCCTTGCTTTCTCCACTATCCTTGTCTTTCATCAATCTTATCTGCTACATTAAAACTAAACATTACAAAGACGTAAAAGTAGCAATAAATAAAATGCTCATGGTCATCAAGAGATCTAAAAGTTACAATTATGACCTCAGCAACTTCACCAACGGATTCACATTGATCTTTCAATTCTTCTTCTGTGACATCTCTAGGAAGACCACCAATAAAAATCTCAGACCCATGTGGAGGGAGGGCAAGAAGCTCTGCACGCTTCTCCCTTTCATCTTCACTAATTGAAGGATTGAGCTTCTCTTCATTTCCTACAGATTCAATGGCATGTTGAGCTTCATCAGCTTCAGGGGATGAATCTTTTCCACTCTTGTTGTTTTCTGAGGCCTCTTGTTCGTCTTCTGTTCGGTCATCCTCAGCTCCATCCACTCTGTCCTCCGTCGGTTCTTCAACATCATCATCCATTTCTTCAATGTAGTTGTCACTATCCAGATCGACTCGCTCTTCCATTTCTGCTCCTGGAGTATCCTCAACCATGTTTGCTCAGAACACACTGGTTGCTGTCTACAACGTCTGATTGAGCCGTAAAACACCTACAGGATTGCACGGCAACTGTGGAGGACACACAGAAGCCAGGAGCATTTGCACAATAGAGGGATATGGATATGGGATGGGTGAGAAGACAAACGTAAGGCCAATAGGATTTGCAGAGTAAGAAGTATTTTGCCGGAATTTGGACGCCATGAGATATGATTCCAGAGTAAAAACTGAAAGATTTTCTTTATGGGTAGATAAAAACTGATTTAAACAGAGATAGGCATGAGCTGAGCAGGCAAAATATTTTTTCACAGATGTGTAATCTGGTCTTAATAGAGAAGCAATCAAAGAGGATCCCCACAGGTGCAAGAGGGAAAAGAGAATATCTCACAGTTTAGATAAACCTTGCATCGTAAACACATTGCAATCCTAACAACTAAATAAACATTATCGAATGTATATTATCTACTTTACATATTATAGAACCCTATAAATAATTGGCCTAGTCAATCAAAATTACTCAAAAGAAGCAACATCAATCTAACAACATTCACAAAATCCCATTTTAAGATCGAGAAAAATCTGATAATTAGCATAATCAGAAACGATGAATAAAACAAAAGAGGGAATAAAAAACTGAATACAGCAGAACACGGAGAAATCAGATACAGATAACAGAAAAGTACTCGATATTAAACCCTAGAAAAGCAAAGAACATCGCACAGAGGGGGAAAAAAAAGTTTGCAAGAGAGAGCCTACTGTGCATGCCAAACTTGCACAGAAACAATCGAAAGTTAATAAGTAATTCAAAATGAATCTAATCAGAGCAGTTATTGGGGAAAATCCATAAGAGGTTATTGAAGAAATTGCATGGACGCGAATGTGTAAACTAAACTATATAAATAAAAGAAAATCCCAGAAAGATGGATAGAAACGTATGATTCCGCTTACCAATTTCTCGAAACTACGACTCAGCCGATTTACTTTTCGTCTTCTCTTTCTTCTTTTGTTTCTCCTATGGGTGGAGCCGTGGAGATGATAACTGCCCGCCCCAAACCTTTCTCGGTTATATTGTGAAGACAGGTAAGCCTGCTTTACCGGGTCAGGACACGAGTCAGGATCATTGTCAACATATCATGTATAAAAGGGTGAGTTCCACTCCCTAGACCTGTTCATGGGCCGGGTGGCCCGTCACTCGGCCCCCGGACGGGCTTGAACACGCAAATGAGCCCGCGGGCTTGACCTCGGGCCAAAAAGTTCGGCCTGCAATAAATTCGAACGGGCTCATGATTTGCCAAAATAGCTCGGCCCGATCTATAGACTAAACCCAAAACCCTAATATCCTAGCCCTTCTCATTCATCTCTTTCCACATTTCCTGTTAGCCGAATTGCCCAGTGTCGAACCTCTCTTCTCTTCACATCCTCCTCACACTCTCAAGCAGCCATAGAATCAGCGCAACAACTCCGGCAGACCGGCAGTGAGTCTTCTCTCTCTCTCTCGTTCCTCTTCTCACTTATTCTCTTTCAAATCTCAGACATCGGCGAGGCGGCGAACACAGGTACCAGCGGCGACGGTAGTGAGTCCTCTCTCTCTCTCTCTCTCTCAGACGCGAACTCAGCACCGGCGAACATAGTCACCGGTGGTGAGTTCTTTCTTCTATTAGGTCGGGCTTCGAGCTCGGGCCCGGGCTTCAGACTTTTTATTAGGGCCGGGCTCGGGCCCATGTTATAGGCTCGTTGGTCGGGCCGAGCTCGAGCCTAACAAAATCATGTTTATGAAGAGTAAAAGCCCGGCCCGGCCCATGAACAGTTAAGCTCGAATCTATTAGAGCTCGGCTTAGAATCGATTATTAAACGAGTTAAGCTCGAATCTATTAGAGCTCGGCTTAGGCTCGATTATTAAACGAGTTAAGCTCGAATCTATTAGAGCTCGGCTTAGGTTCGATTATTAAACGAGCCGAGCTCGAACCTACTAGAGTTTGGCTCGTGAGGCTCGCGAACCCACTCAAATATATATAATAAAATTATAGAAAATAATATATATAATAAAAATATTATAATTATTTATTATTATAATTCTTAATTTTTTAAATATTAAATAAAAATAATTTTATATATAATTTTTTATTTTTATAAAATATTTTTTCTCAAAATCGAGCTTGAGCCGAGCTGAGCTCGAGCTTATGAATTTTTTACTCAAGCCGAGCTTGAGCTCAAGGTTCGGACTCGAACCAAGCTCGAGCCTTGTACTATTCGGCTCAGCTCGAATCCACCCCTATTCCTAAGCGTGATCACAGCCCAACACTTCAATCCCAGGCCTTGGCTTGGGCTTACTTTCAGGCCCGACATCTAGGCTCAAGGGCGACGTCTTGGTTTTATGGTAGGGTTTTTAGAACTAGAACCTTTAGGTAGACCTGGCAATTGGGTTGGGTGGGTCGAGTTCGGGTTGGGTCAAGAGATTTCGGGTTGAATTTCATGTTGGGTTGTCAAGTGCTAGACCCTAACCCTAAATGTTCAGGTTATGATTGACCCATGGGTCAATTAGGATCATTCCATAAAATAATTGAAATTTTTAAAAAATAATATATATATATATATATTAAAATGCCAAAATTAAATGAATTAATCTTAAAATTCCAAAAATAAAATAAACAAACTTGAACATTTAACAATTCAAAGAGTAAATAAAAAAAAGTAAAGACGGAATAGTAAAAATTAAAGAGTGGCAACTTCTAACAATGCATAAATAGTCCCAATTAGACCTAACAATCGAGTCAGCGGGTTGACCCATGACCCAACCCAAATTTTTCCGAGTCGGGTCATTCTCAAATCTAGGTAACTAAATATGAGACCCTAACCCTGTTTTTTCAGGTTGGGTCAACTTTTTGCCAAGTCTAATTCTAGGGTCTACCTATGGGTTTCTTTACTCTCCCCTTTAAGAAAAAAAATGAAATATGTCTTTCAAAAACTTGATTTTCAATAATGATGTAGAATCTAATATGTAGATTCTATAATACTATCTTTCTTGATTAAATTGAGTAATTTAATATGTACAATATCATAGTATATTAATATATGGTTGAAAATTTGTCATTATGATTTAAATTTTATAAATATTAACTTTTACGTTATTTATTATGCACATACAAATATTAAAATGAAACCATGGCTTTTGTAACTATGAGTGCTTGGGCTTAAATCTTTACATTCTTAAAAAGATTATGGGTTTATTTTGAAGCAAGTTCGGTTCCAAGGCCGATTCCACTAAGGCCAACCAAGGCCCATTCATCAAGTCAGTTTGGGTTGGGTAATCCCCTAGACCTTGGAACCGACCTGGGTGGGAGTCAGTTCCAAGAATTTAGAACCAGGCCCTACCCTATAATAGATTGGGTAGGGTTGATTTAAGACTGGTTCGAGGTCAATTCCATTCTTTTCCAAGTAAAATCTACCCATTTGCTCACCCCTAGTAGCCCTTATTTGTTAAGTTAAAAATGGCCATGATCACCCTAATTACTTTTATATTCCCTTCATCGGTTATTAATCCAACCTCTTCATGCTAAGACAAGTTTTTTTATCCTTCTTGGTAAAATGCTAATACCAGGTTTTAAAAGCTAAAGGTCGTAAAAGTTTTTAGTGTATATAGCATAAATGCAAGGAGAGGCTTTCTTACTAGGATCAAATTTGTTTAGTATATAGCATAAATGTGTGTATTTTTGCCAATATATGTATATATGTATACAAAAGTTTTTAGTTTTTATTGCCATCTTGGTAGACCTGGCAATTGGGTTGGGTGGGTCGGGTTCGGTTGGGTCAAGATATTTCGGTTTGATTTTAGGTCGGGTAGTCAATTTCTATACCCTAACCCTAAATGTCTGGGTTAGGATTGACCCATGGGTCAATTTGGGTCATCCCAAAAAATAACTGAAATTTAAAAAAAAAAAAGAAAAATACATGAAAATTGCCAAAATTAAAGGAATTAACCTTAAAATTATAAATATAAAATAAAAAACTTGAACATTTAATAATTCAACGAATAAACAATAAAGAATAAAGACTAAATAGAAAAAAATTAAAGAGTACTATAAACTTCTAACAATGCATAAATAGTCCTAATTAGACCTAGCAATCGGGTCAACAGGTTGACTCATGACCCAACCCAACCCAACCCAGTTTTTTTTCTGGGTTGGGACGGGTCAAGTCATTCTCACATTCAAGTAGCTAAATATGAGACCCTAACCCTATTTTTTGGGTTGGGTTGGATTGGGTCAGGTTTGCAGTTGGGTCAACTTTTTGCCAAGTCTACATCTTGGTGTAATCCTCTTCTTTTATTCAAACATAGGAATCCCAGTGTAAGAAAAGCTCAAACTGGCAAAGTTGAAGGGGTTAAAAGGATTATGAACAGGAAAAAAAGGACATGGATAGAAATGTAAAAAGTGGTTTAGACAATAATACCATGTTAGAACGGATAAAATGGTCAAGCATAATTCATGTAGCAAGCCCCATATAGTTGGAAATGGTTTGGATGATGATGATGATATACAATTTTTTATAGGTTATATAATATTGTTTATTTATCCAATTACCAACTTCTGGATTTATTTATCATTACATGCTTTTTAATTCACAATTTTTAAACATTTCTTTTATATTTCATTATATGTTTAAAATTTCTTTATTTCTTGATTTGATTTATATATTGTTTACATGTTTTTCTATGATTTATTTCGAAGATTGATCTTATGAACCTCACATTAGTGTGATTGAATCCACACCACAGTTGTACGAATGTTTTGTACTGTAGTATAGATGCTTTGTCAGCAAAAAAAATTGATCATCTACCATGAAACTTTATAAGAATGTTTGAACATACCAGTTGTGTTTGGTACCATTTCTACTTTTACTTGCAACATTTTAGGTCGGTCAATACAAATTTGACGAGAATATATATATTTTTTTGTCACAAATGCTTTGAGTTATCAATTCAACATTTGATACCATTGTTGTTTCTTGAGTAAAGGTCAAGGGGTTGTTTAGTATTATAGACTTATTTAATAAACATTTTATCTTGAAAAATGAGAAGTGGTTGATAAACATTTATTTGGTGTTGATTGATAATTAGGCATCATTAGACACTATTAGGCGCCACATAAGCTGAACAGTAAATAAACATATGGGTGTTGAGAAAATATTAAAAATGGTGTTTTCCCAAACAGTTAACTATCATAAACCAAGAAAATGCTTATTAAACAAATAGTCTTCCAAATAAAATTTTGCAATAAATGTCTACATAGTAATGAACTAGCATTGTTTTTCAAATAAATGGCCACAAAACAAAGACCATGCAAATTTGGTGTTTCTACTATAAATGCTAATACCTAATTTGATGCTTATTTTTTTCGTGAAAATGATTATTTGATGTAATGTGATAGGACAATATTGATAAACTTAAAACGTTGCAAGTAGAAGTTGCAATGGTACCAAACACAACCATCATGGATGAGAATGTTTGATCTACAATGATTATTTATTATCAAACTTAATTTATAACATTTAGGCATGAATTAAAAAGTATGAGATAGTGTAGACTAATCCATGATATAATGTAGATTAATTTACATTACCGTCTCAAAGAATGCCGATAAAAAGTATAAAATTGTCCCCTTTTTTGAATTTTTATTTATTTTTTATTTCCATGTCATTTTTGAAACAACCAATGAGATGCACTTTCCCAATGACCTAAATAATCTCTTCTCCTAAACTACCTCCCCCACTATCCCCCATTTTCTCCAAAATTATTTATAATTCCTATTTATCTTCTAAATTATCTCTAATTCCTATTTATCCCCTCCCCTACTTTTTATCTATATCTATCTAAAGAAATTTTGGATTAAAAAAATTAATAATTATTTAAATATTCTAACAAAATTATATAATAACTTTAAAATATTTATTAAAAACATAAAAAATAATTTTATATTTTCACAAAATATATCATGAAATTATGTACTAACAATTTAAATTATGTTTTTCTAGATTATCAATTTAAATGTTTTTCAAATATTTAATAATATGTAAAAGCTTTAAATAAATAAAATTAAAA